TTCACCATGTTAGCTAGGCTGGTCTCAAACTCCCGACCTCTGGTCATCTGCCTGCCTTGGCCTTCCAAAGTGCCCAGCCTTATTTACATATTGTTGATTCTCTCTGGCCCCTTGAAAGTTCTTTGCACTCCACAATGTTGAGATTAGCAGTACTTCCTTCTTTTAATGAGTGGAATGGTGTTTATCAACAATTTAAAATGTAACAACTACATTTCAAACTCTGGATTAATTGTAACAGTTTAGGATGCCTTGCAGCTTACAGAGCACTTTCCCATACAGCCCATTCCTTCCTCCCAACAACCTGTGAAGTGTGACATTATTATCCTCATTTTACAGGAGCGAAAACAAGGTCAGAGAATCTCACTTGCCTCTGAGATTTCAGTTCCCTCTATTTTATTCCTTATTTCCATTCCCAGTGTCACTGTGCTACGTGAATCAGGAACCACTGTACCAGGAGCATTGGTTGTGGGAGGATAAGACTGTACTTTCTCTTGCTGCTTCTCTTATTGTTGGAATGCTTTGTCTCTTAATTTAGTCTTTAAGTTTTTGTAAGTTTTGAGTTTTTAAACCATAATTTGCTAAAAGTAAATATAGACTTTAGTTAATATACCATCTCCTATCGTATTCACTCTGTCAAATGGTGGGTAGCTGTGGACTTTGTCATTATTACTTTTTATTATGCACTAGTTGCATAAAACCTTGCCTTATTCATTCAACAGAGACGCCTTTTTTATCCACTAAATTAATCTTTGACCAAGCTTCCTGGCTTGCAGGATCTCCCAGAGGAAAAGAGACAAATCTCTGTGTGGTAACTGTGTCCTTCCACCCCCAGGCCTCTATGTGGTTTCAGTTACCGATGGGCTAGATTCCCATCTGGATTTATCAGGGATGTCTGGCAACAGAATAAATTAAAGGACTTCACGGAGGTGATTCCAACCCCCATCTCTCTAATTCCATTCTGTCCAAGTTTCTTTTCTTCTTTTTCTGGTGGTGCTGTCACATCCCTTCAGCCCATCTCTGATCTGGGCCATATCTGTGGCAACTGATCATACACGAGCTCAGATGATGACCGCAGGCTGACCGCCTGTCATTTCAAGAGCATGCCGCCCATCCCTATGCTTTCTGCCCAGGACTTCTCTAATCTCACAGGAGACAGCTTGGCCTGAGCTCAAAAACAGTCCAGAAGTGCGGGGAGTTAATGCCGCCTGGGGTGACGCTCAACCAACGGGGGTCAGGGGCCAGTTAATATTAATATATGCTCCAGTCCCTGACCCTTCTGCTGACAGTTCTCTGTGCTACTCCCAGTGGCATCAAGCTGGCCTCACCCACAGCAGGGATCTTGACAACTGACCTCTTTTGTTTTCCCTCCTTCCCTGTCACATCACCCACTCCCTCGCCTCTGCTCCCCCATCACCTCTTACATAAACTGCCTTCACACAAGTCCTCATTTGGGCTCTGTTTTTTGGAATAAACATTACAGGGGTGAAGACATTTCCCCTTCACTCTAAGCAAAGCCTTTGAAGAGTGAGGGACCCATGGTCGCCTCTAGAAGAAGCTGCAGGTTATCACTGAAAAGGTCATTAGTGTCTCCAGCACCCAATAGTGAGTGCTTGTCAGTGTTTGTCTTCAGGTCACCTTCTAAATGCCTTAAAGATGTCATTGAATTACGGCCTTTATAATAACCTGCAGTGAAGGGAACCATGCCCAGGACCACCTTAAAAGGACTTGTTGAGCCATGTACCAGGTGAGAACCATGAGTCACCACTTCCTGACATGGACAACGGTAGCATTTTTGTAGACTCAAATATTTAACCTAGATGGGATCCTAGAATTCTCAGCCTGATAATCTACCTTTACCAATTGAACTTGAGTGAGTTGTTCAAGGTTGCACAGCTGGTTAATGGGAAAGCAGTTGTCTACCCCTAAATAAAAACAAGTAGAAGACAAGGCCTTTCTGAGTCCATTCCAGACTTTGGGCCTTTGCACTTGGTATTGCCTTCTCTTCAGGCTGAGCTCAACTGTGGACTCCTCAGGGGCCTTTCCTGACTATACCACTTAGAGCAGCCTATCCCTCCAGACACTAGGGCATCACTCTATTTTGTTGCTTTCATAGCATGTATCACTACCTTGGGCATCTTTAGGTCCAAATAAGATATAAAAACGATATTATTTTGTTTATTGCTTTATTTACAAGTTTATTGTGAGTTTGTTCTGTACTAGGATCTTGCCTGTCCTATTCCCTGCTTTATTCCAAGGCCCAGCATATTGTCAGTGCCCGATATTTGAAGAGAAGAAATGACAGCTATCTGTAGACTATTCCATTAACCTTGTTTGCCCTTATTGTAACAACATGACTGCTGTTTTGAATACACAGTTAACCACTGGAAAAGAGTCCAGCTTTCTGGGAAGTTGAACCCATGGATTAACCCTTCTGAACCCCTGGGATAGCTTAGACCCAGGAGTACTGAGTTAGGCCTGTGGGCTACTCATTCATGGGCCAGTCTTTTCCCTGATGTCTTCCACTCTAAACACATGAAGGGGCCATAGAAGCCATCAGTGTCATCATGACACACAAGAAGATGAGGAAGAGGAATAAAGGAATCAAAATTTTCTTCATCCTCCCCTTTGGCATACCTTTAGCTCAGGTATGATTTTGTTTTTGTTTTTCTTGAGATGAAGTCTCGCTCTGTCACCAGGCTGGAGTGCAGTGGCGCGATCTCGGCTCACTGCAACCTCCGACTCCCTGGTTCAAGTGATTCTCCTGCCTCAGCCTCCCAAGTAGCTGGGATTATAGGCATGCGCCACCATGCCCAACTAATTTTTGTATTTTTAGTAGAGATGGGGTTTCACCATGTTGGCCAGGATGGTCTCGATTTCCTGACCTTGTGATCTGCCCACCTGGGCCTCCCAAAGTTCTGGAATTACAGGTGTGAGCCACCACACCCAGCCTAGCTCAGGTATGCTAAGTGGAGTGAGACTGAGGGCCTAGGGAAAAGAGATTTGAAAATAATGTTAAACTTGGCTCTACAGCCTAGTGGAGAAAAGGAAAAGGAGTCCTAATGGTCGCACATGGTCAGATTAGCTTACCAGAAGAGGGGACCAGATGAAGAGTTGAGGAAACTGCTCCAGCGAAGAATTATAGCTGTGCATTGCAGCTCATGCAGCTCATGCTATATATTCTCAGAAACCTTAAATGCAGTGTTAGGAAATGGAATAAGAATGTGGTCCAGCAAAAAAGAGAGAGGAGAGAACCACACCATAAAAGCAGAAGGCACAGTGCTTCCTTAGCAATCATTTTGAGATGCTTCTAACCTGATGGCATCTTCATGGTTTTTTCCGTATTTACTGACATCTTTTTCACCTTATGGCTGCAGAAATCACCCTGAAATCTTGTGTGCTGGCTAAAAATTGGGCTAGCTTGGAAGGAAAACACTACAATTTTTTTGTGTGTGTGTACAAATTGGAGCTGAATAGATTGGTTTATGAATCATGAGGCCTAAGCTCAGAAATCTCAGTCTACAGTCATAAAATTTTCCAGCAGGAAATGGCAGTTTTTATTTGAAAAAAAAATCTTAAGTGGAATTTTTCTTTATCTGTGGTATATGCCAACAGTCCTAATTATTCTGTGAGTTCTGATTGCTAGAGGAAAAAATCATTAAGATGTCTATACATTGATTTTGTTCTGAGGAACCATAGAAGGGGAGGCAGGACAGAAGCAAATGGTGAAGTGGCTAGACATGGAGGCAGGGCCTGCCACTGCCCTTGACTGCATCTACAGGATGAAGATAAGCCAACTGGAAGAAATAAGATGCAGCAAGTACTTGGGAGAACTGGCATTTAATAAATAATTACTGCTGCCTTTGGTCTCTCTGAGAGTTACTGATCAACATCTGTTTTTTCCCTAAACCTCTTTTTCCTTTCCTTTCTATTATTTATTACTGGACTCTTATTTATCAAGTGCCTACTAAATATGCACTGAATAATAAAATATTAATGAAATATGGTCACTGCCCTTAAATGCATTTGTACTGTATGGAGGCAGGTAGACATGTAAATAATTATTACAAATAATGATCCCTTTTCGGAAATGGCCTAATCAGCTATCACACACTAAAGTGTTAATGACTAATAGGTAACAGCACAAATTATTAATTAACAGGTCCCAGGAATATCAGCAAGCAAATAAGCAGTCATGCCTTCATACATTGAACTTTGAGGAACTTCTAGTGTTTGCATTTTCACTATTATGGTATATCATGGCCCATATATTAACGTAGGGTGAAAACTGGGAGCATCCTAGGCTCCCAGCAGGGCCATTATGCAGAAGGGAATTATTTTAACACTGGCAGAAAGGCTCCCTGCCCCACCCAAAATATTGCCTTGGCTGACTCTTTGTTAATGTTCTCAGTTGAAACTCTTTATAATGAGATGTTTTTCATAAATGCATAAAGTGGAGCAATATATCATTTTATGGTATCATCTAGTTACAGATCTACTGAAAACTACTTAGTACAAGTCGTCCTCAATCCTGCTTAAATGACTAATCCTGACACTGTGCCATAGATCCCCCAGGACCGGAGGAACTGCAAAAGGAAATCTGCCCAGCTATAACCTAAGTAAACTCAGCCTTTAATAGGTATCATATTAAGCCATAAGAATCATGATTTCATAGTTTAGTACCTGCTATAATAATATTGGAATTAGCCTTAGAGCAAGAATCGCTTTCTACTCCCTGCTCTGTTAATTATCTAGCCTCGCGGCCTTGAGCAATTCACAAAGCTTTTGCAGTCCTCATCTATAAAAATGAAGACCATTAGGTTCTATGAATCCAAGGTCCGATCTTCCTCTAACCTTGCAGAGTAGCTAACATTGATTGAGTACTTAGAAGGAACAAAAACATGTTCTTGACCCTGGGTTGGACTCATCATCTAGGCATTTCCTCATGTATTCCCAAATCATAGTTTGTTCTTAGTGACGTTCAAATGAACTTGACAACTTACCAAATAAATTTTCAGAAAAAGAAAATTCATCTGTGGTAGGCAAATGGGAGTGTTCAATGAGATTCATTTTTGATCCCATCCAAATTTTTCAATTGAAATGCACTTTCTTTATGGTGGCCTTCAAAAAAAACTCCTGAAAGGAAAATAAATAAATAGAGTTTGTGACTGTGGGGATGGGGTACAGGTCGGTTAGGAAAGCTAGGGAAGGAGAGAGTGAGATCGTTTACAAGAGTACAAATGGCTCCCTTTGAATGCATTTTACTATAGCCTTTCTGTATATCTCTTTTCTCAATATTTATCATTTTTATACTTCATTTGGACCTAAAAATGCCCAAGATATGTGCTTTCATAGGAGATACTCTCTAATTTATCTGAAAAAAACATCATATGTTTTCATTCAAATTTCAGCCTTTGGGAGATTTGGGCAAGATATGATGACATTTTGACCATGTCTTTATTAGAAAAAAGAAACATATATAAAAGGCCTTGATTTAAAATGACATGAATCCGTCCCAGCTACTTGGGAGGCTGAGGCAGGAGAATGGTGTGAACCTAGGAGGTGGAGCTTGCAGTGAACCGAGATCGCGCCACTGCACTCCAGCCTGGGTGACAGAGTGAGACTCCATCTCAAAAAATAAATAAATAAATAAAAATAAATAAAATAAAATCAGATGAGTCCATGATTCATTATCTTAAACTTTATTTTAAAGTGGAATAGGTTTTTATAAATATTAATAGTGATTTAAAGCCACTTCCTACTGGAATTTTTTTTTACTATCTAGGCATTATGTCAGCAGATCAGAAAATCAGAGATCTTCCTTATATCTGCCTTTTAGAGGACATTTCAGGGGCTTTCATTTTCACTGTCATGATCTACCTTGGTCATGTATTGATCTGGGGCTTTTTAAAAAGATACAGTAAAAAGAAAAATAATGGTAAATCTCACCAAAGTGTCTGAAGTTTCATCTTGAGGAAATGTCCAGAAGAAATCCAGGAACCCAAGAGAAGCAGTGTTCACTTTGAGCTATGTCTCTAGGTCTTCTTTTCTTCTTTCACTCCTTCCACAATGTTTTCTACCTCCCTAAAGAAGTAATGTGAAAGGATAAATAATTAAAAGTGATAATGTGTGCTATCAGAATCTCTTTTCCCAAGCTGTTTTCTGATGATGATTTTCAAACCTTTTTTTTCTGTCTCCACCAAGACATGACTTTATTTACAAATAAACAGCTATCTATATTTGCTGCCCAGGAAGAGAATATAGTGGGTTTTTTGGATAAGTATGTATTTCATTAGTATTTACCCACTATTCACGTCTCTCTTTCTCTCTCACTCAGCAAATGTCCTAGCTCAAACAGAAGTGAGTTTCAGATGCACTTGGCTTCTGGGAAGGTAGTGCACCAGAAAACTGTTTGCTTCATTCATTCATTTATTCATGCTTGCAACAAATATTCAGTGAGCATATATTCTGCACTAAATTCTGTGCTAGATATTTGAAGATAAAATGGCAACAGGAAAATAAACATTCATGATCCATGACATCAAGCTTAATTAGGAATAAATATTAAACAAATAATCACACAAATACACAGATGATTATATATTGTCATGAAAGCTGTTTATGAGGGCGAAGAACAGGATGCTGTAACAGAGAGGTTTGGATGTGAAGAGATAGGGAGTCAAGAGATAGAGAAGTAGCTGAAGGAGGATGCAGTTTCAAGGGCAATTTTTAAAGATAGGTGATACTAGAGCAATCTGCACTGATGGGAAAACACCAGAAGGGAACTAGCTGAAGAAGCAAGAATGAGGGAGAGTCTCCTGAGAAGAGACACAAACTGTGTCCACTGTCAGGTCCAAGCATATCTGGGTCCCTCTGGTAAACCAGTGGTATAGCCTATCAAATTCCACCACGCCCTACTGCCAAACTCTACTATCCATTAATATAAGGGGCTTGGTGGGAGAAAATCCATTCTAAACTCATGGGGAGCTAAGGACCATGAACTTCACCCCAAAGGAAAGCCTTAGCCTTAGAGACATGTGTAATTTTCAGTGTAGCTGTGTTTGACCAACCCAAACTAGATTCAGGAGACCTTCCTACCACCCAGAGGTGAGAAGAAAAGGGTTGTAAATAAAAATGAAGTCTGGAAACATTGAGGTATAAGGCAGAGCCTTCCAATGCAACAAGCAGAAGAGAGAGAGCTCATTTCAACCTCACCCTCATCCTCAAACAACTCTGCCATATGTCACAGTGGAACTTTGAACCCAAGAGGGCTGGGCAACAGAGGTGCCCAGCAGGGGAATCATGACTACTGGTTGGACACTGCTCTGCCCCATGGACACAAAATGGAGTGGAAGGAACAGCCAGAGCACACCTAGTTATAAACATGAAGAGACCCCAAGGCACTCCTGAAATAACTGGGGAGTTGTCGGGGAAGGAGGCTCTGATAGGGAGCTGGAGGTCCTGAATAGTAACTCAGTAAAAGTTGAGTTTCTGGCTAGGCACAGTGACTACTGCCTGTAATCCCATCACTTTGAAAGGCCAAGGCAGGAGAATCACTCAAGCCCAAGAGTTCGAGGCCAGCCTGAGCAACATGACAAAACCTCATCTCTACTAAAAATTAAAAAATTAGCTGGGCATGGTGATGCACACCTGTAGTCCCAGCTAGACTACTTGGGAGGCTGAAGCAGGAGGATCACTTGAGCCTAGGAGGTCGAGGCTGCAGTGAACTCTGATCATGCTACCGCTTTCCAGCCTGGACGACAGAGCTAAAGTCTCAAAAAAAAAAAAAAAAGTTGAGTTGTTGTTATTAACAGAACCTCATTCATACTCACAAGCTAGTTGAGGACTAGGGAAATTCAAATTTCAGTATGTACATATCAATTGTATAAGGATATATATAATGTGTATATATAAATACATATTGAATCATGATACTACATGTATATACGTGCCTGTATATTGTATGATAACTGGACTTAAACACTCCCACTCTGCATCAAAATTTAGGCAATTATTGTTTTAGAGCTTCTCCTATTTTGGGAATAGGAAATTCCACCATTTCCCATAATAATATTTTCCAGGAACTCACAATGTGAACGGTCAGAAAGTTTTCCTAATATTCAACCCAAGCTTATACTCTGTAACTTAAAACCCATTTCCTCTGGTCTTTAAAAATAGAATATCACAGCTCTGTGACTCTGACTTTAGGTTTCCCTCTGTGCTCTCCTTGTCTCTGTCTTTTTTAACCTTGAGCCATGTTCAGCAAGCTCCCCCGTACTTCCACCACACATTACAGCTTTTTAATATTTTCCAGGCACACTCATCTTCATTTTGGATTCCTGTGATATATTTTCTTCAATACATTCATATATAAACTTGGCACCTTCAAATCAAGTGCCTGGCATACAGTCAGCCCTCAAGAAATGTTGGCTCTATTAAATTACCTGCATTTATTGTTTTTCTTGCTTAGTTCTGCCAAATTCTATGACATTTGACTTGCTCTTCCTGGAGAAATGGTATAAGCCCTATTGGCAAAAAAGCTTAGGACATAATTTATCACTTGCTCTCCAAATGAAAAGTCCAATTCCTCTAATTCTGCATCATTTAAGTTATTATCCCTGATTGGAGACCCACCATATGAATGCCCCTGATTAGCTAACAGCAGAACTCTCTAGAATCCAGATAGCAGGGTCCACTCAGGTCAGATTCATTGGGTTTACAATTCCTGAATGGGCTTTAAAAAAAAAACTCTAATTTTTGAAATGGTAACACAAGCCCATGGTAAACAATTCAAATAGTATACTGAAAAAAGTCTTCCCAGTTCAGACACCCATTTCCCTTACCCAAATACTGTTACAATGGCTAGTTCCTTGTGTATCCTTCCAGAATATTCTCACTCTTCAGTATAAAAGAGCCTTTAAATACTGTATTGAAAACCAGAGTTCCTAAACTATTGCCTGCAGGCTAAAGCCGGTTGGCTGCCTGTTTTTGTGTGGCCTGAGAGCTTAGAATGGTTTTACATTTTCAGATGGTTAAAAAAAACTGAAAGAAGAATATTTCGTGACACATGGAAATTATATGAAATTCGTATTCAGTGCCTATAAATAGTTTAATGGTACACAGCCACACTCACTTGTTTATGGAATATCTATGGCTCTTTTCTCCCTACAGTAGCAGAGTTGAGTACAGTAGTTGCAACATAAGACTGCACAGTTCAGAAACCCACAAATATTTACTATCTAGCCTTTTACAGAAAAAGTATGTTAATCCCTGTCTTAAACAAATAACAGAAGGGATTCAAACAATCAAAGTAGTATTAGAGGTAAACTATTAATAAATGTAAAGAGTACCTTGGGGATGTAAACCCACTTAATTAAATATATCTCATAATAGTCAGATTTTCTTTACCTCTTAACAGCTTCTTACTGAGATTAGCAGCTTTAGCCTATTTGCCAAGAGCTTCCATATACGTTATTTGTCTAATTACGGTTACTTCGGTGCCCTTCTTTCTCTAATACTCTTCACTTTCATGTCGGGGAAGGAACTGCAATAGAAGAACTCCCAGGAGACCCTTGACTTTAGCTTGAAGTCTTTCTTTTTTCCTTCAAATCCTCCCTTCCATAAAAGGAGTCATGTTACAGGTTGAGAATAAGCTCATTTAACCTTTAAAAGACCCTTGAAAAACAATATGCTCCTTCAACACACTTTTTGGGTTGACATCTAATGTCTTTCACTAAAAAATAAAATAGTTGCAAGAAATATAATTTCTGACATATTATAAAAATTGACATTTTTACATGTTGTTGCATTACTTTTAAATAATTCAATTAAATCTCAATATCACAGCAACTTTATACCCTCCCTTATCCTTTTAAGAAATAGATGAAGTTATTCTTTAACAGCTGGAAACTTTTTAATCATTTCTGTTCTTCCTCAAGTTTATATTTCATTCCATTCACTTCACGACAGAATTTTATCCTAAGGTAGCATACGTCTACAGTGAGAGTCTGTTATTGGACATTTTATCATATTTTCTGCCACTAAAATATGTATATAAACTTGAATTTTTTTCATTTCTAGTGACTTTAAGATTTTAAACATTTTTTAAGTTTTCAGGATTTACTTTATGACTAGCTATTATGAGTACCCATTTAATCAAAATTACGCCTTGTCCATTACACTGTCTCTACAAATGAGGCAGCTCATTCTCCAGGCCAAAAGGCACAAGTAGAGAAAGCAGTCTATTGCAGAGGAGAGAACACCAGATCAGAAAGGAAAACAACATTATGGCCAGGTGCAGTGGCTCACGCTTGCAATCCCAGCACTTTGGGAGGCTGAGGTGGGTGGATTACTTGAGGTTGGGAGTTCCAGACCAACCTGGCCAACATAAGAATAATAAAAATACAAAAATTAACCAGCCATGGTGGCGCAGGCCTGTAATCCCAGCTACTCAAGAGGCTGAGGCAGGAGAATCACTTGAACTTGGGAGGCAGAGGTTGCAGTGACCCGAGATTGCACTACTGCATTCCAACCTGGGCAACAGAGTGAGATTCTATCTCAAAAAGAAAAGAAAGAAAGGAAAACAACACTGTCAGGTGATAGCCATGGTCAACAGTTGGCAGAACACATGAAGTAGAGGAAGCAAATCTCCTTAGAAATGCAGCGAAAGGCCAGACGTGGTGGTTCACACCTGTAATCCCAACACTTTGGGAGGCCGAGACAGATGGATCACTTGAGGTCAGGAGTTTGAGACCAGCCTGGTCAACATGGTGAAACCCCGTCTTTTCTAAAAATACAAAAATTAGCTGGGTGTGGTGGCAGGTTGCTGTAATCCCAGCTACTCAGGAAGCTGAGGCAGGAGAATCACTTGAACCTGGGAGGCAGAGGTTGCAGTGACCCGAGATCACGCCATTGCACTCTAGCCTGGGCAATAGAGCAAGACTCTGTCTCAAAAAAAAAAAAAAAAAAAAAAAATCAGCGGGTAAAGAAAAATATTTGATTTGAACATGCTCACTTCCCTACCTTCCTCCTGACTCCCCCACTCCCCACCCCTGTCCTAGAAGAGGGATAGGGTGGATGCAGGA